GGCAGCGAAGATAAGGTGTGTCTGTTAAAACAATCCTTGTATGGTTTGAAGCAATCACCGAGAAGATGGAACATCAGATTTGACGAATTCGTCCAGAGTCAAGGTTTGATCAGAAGCTCATATGATCCATGCGTATACTACAAAGATGTAGATGGAGAAGAAAACAAAATATATCTAATGCTCTATGTCGATGATATGTTGCTAGCAGCAAAAAGAAGAGATGATCTGGTTAAACTGAAGCAGTTACTCAACACTGAATTTGACATGAAGGATCTCGGAGCAGCTAAAAAGATTTTAGGAATGACAATCTGCAGGGACAGAGCTTCGGGAGTCTTAACTCTAACTCAATCAGATTACGTGGAAAAGGTTTTGACGACCTACAACATGAGTGAATCAAAACCAGTGCAAACTCCACTAGGCTCTCAGTTCAAACTCTGTTCATCAAAAGAACCAGAGAATTTTGATCAAAGGTTTGTCGACTCTGTTCCATATGCCAATGCTGTTGGCAGTATAATGTATGCGATGCTGGGAACGAGACCGGATCTAGCCTTTCCGGTAGGTGTGATCAGCAGGTTTATGAGTAAACCAGAAAAGGAGCATTGGGAAGCCGTAAAGTAGCATTGAAAAGCCGTAAAGTGGGTGCTGAGATATATGAGAGGAACCTGTGATTATGGTTTGAGGTTTCAGAAAACAGACAGAATCACCGTTAAAGGATATTGCGATTCAGATTTGGACAAGCGTAGGTCAGTCACGGGTTATGTTTTCTCGGTTGGTGGAAATCTGGTAAGTTGGAAGTCAGGTTTACAAAACGTGGTGGCTTTATCGACAACAGAAGCTGAATATATGTCCTTAACAGAAGCAGTGAAAGAAGGTTTGTGGCTAAATGGTCTGGTCAGCGAGTTGGGTTTCAGAAACAGCTCAGTGGAAGTGCAATGCGATTCGCAAAGTGCAATCGATCTTGCGAGAAACAGCGTCCATCATGAACGGACTAAGCATATCGATGTCCGCCTTCATTTCATCAGGGATTTAATCAACCAGGGATGTGTTCGAGTGGTAAAGGTACACACAGATGATAATCCAGCTGATCTCTTGACAAA